ATAATAATAATAATAATAAAGTTCCAACAAATTTACCTCGAGGTTCAAACTATTCCAAAAGCGAAAACATGCCGCCTATCAGCGTTGTTATGAGAGGTGTTGAGAAACAGATCTGGCCTCCACACACGCCCCTCTCACCGACTCCACACACCCACAATGTGAGAAATTGTAATTGTTATAATTAATTTGTCTGTGTTTTACGCCTCCATCGACACTATTTAGAACATTTAGGAACACACAAGTTGACAAATTGTTGCTATGCACATGCACAACACGTAGATGTAACTATAACTTACTAAAATCTATAACAGGGTGAGGTGTATCTCATATAGATCTACGTCATGCAGGAGTTCAGCAGTGACCCTCAAGTTCGTACCAGAAGTTACGAAAAAATAACAACGGTAACTTAACTCCTTACATATGAGACAGTTACCCTACTTTTGTTTACAGTTAACTACCTTCACAAAGACGGTTGAACCATACAGATCTTGATTTAGTACTTGTAAGAAATTGGCAGCAACGCACTCTCCTGTTAATAATACTGTCATGTAAACGTTGTGTCAATGATATCACTGTTAATATTAGAACGCAGATTTGAACCAAGAGACTGTAGATCTGTACATTAAATTATACACTCGGGTTAACAAACGTATGAGAATTAAATATTATACACACGAGTTAACAAACGCCACTGGTTGTTGGAGGAACACAGTCGTAAGACTAAAATATAAATTTGAAGGATCCCGTGAAGGTTTTGCACGAACGACACGACGAGTGGAGCAGAGATGGAGGACGGAAGGAAGGGAAGAGGAGGAGGAGGAGGAGTAGGAAGGGGAGGAGGAGGGGTGAGCGGCTGTCTGCTGTCAGGAGTCAGGAGTCACGAGCGGTTGCGTCCTGTGGCGAGAGGAGCGCGCGTTCTTCACGGTCACGGGCAAACAGACGGAGGGTGAGTAGTGGGAGAGAGAGGGAGAGAGAGGGAGAGAGAGAGAGAGAGAGAGAGACAGCGGAGAGAGAGAGAGAAGGGGGGAGGGAGAGGGGAGAGGAGAGGGAGAGGAGAGGGAGAGAGGGAAAGAGAGAGAGGGAGAAGAGAGAGAGGGGAGGGAGAGA